GGCAAGACTTTAAAAAAAGGCGCACGAAGGGATACAGTGGAACAAATGGGAGGGCCTCGCACGCAGAGGCGCCCGTGAGTCCCCTGCCGCTGCGGAGCGTGTGCCAGGCGGCGCTGCCTGCCAGCGGTGTCGAGCCGTTAATGGAGAGAGGAAAGGCGCTGCCCTGCGGCTGTGTACGGGCTGGATGGCGATAGTAACCTAGCAATTATGGAAGGCCACAAGGCGGGCACACCTCCCCTCCAGCTATAATCCCAGCAAGAGTTGGGAATGACAAGATCTGAAAACAGTTTCTACTGGGGTTTTGAGTAGTTGTTACATGCATATTTCTACCTTTTCCACAAAGGAATCCAAGAGGAGCATGCATGATCCTCCACTTAGTGCTCACAACGACCCTGTCAGGTAGCTCAGAGTTGGCGACCGGCCCAAAGTCATCTCGAAGAGCTACATGGTCAAGTGGGGCCTAGAACCCCAGTCTTCCAAGTCCCAGTCCAGCACTCAACAGTAATGCCACTCCACAACGGACTCTTACGCCATCGCACCGCCACATCTCCCCCCCCCCCCCGACCCCATCCAATCCCTTCTGTTTCTTGCTGTCCCATGTTTTCTCTCAGGCTTCCTTTTTTTCTTAATACAGAAATCTGGGGAGAAAAAGCCAGAGCAGCTGTTGAACGCTAGTGCCAGGGGTCCTCACCTGAGTAACAGTCTTTGATTTCCTGCTACTCCTTCATCCTCCCAGAATGCTTCCAGACCAGTCTAATTGAGTTACCCTGCCTCAAACATAGGATTGGATGGGGGTGCCAGACAAAGAACCTTCCTGCACTTTTACGCCACTTCTCCCCCACACCCCCTTTTTTGGTCACTACCACAGAGCCAATAAGGAGAGAATGTCAGAAAAACAGCACGAAGCCTTTTGATTGGTGGCATCAGAAAGCACCCCAGTTGGGAACTGGGAAAGGCGGCAGCATCTGGTTGCAATTTACAGAAAAGAAAGGAGCCCAAGGGACCCTGCATGGAGGCCTTATAATATCACATTCCTCACATCAAATGTTAACTCTGTAAAAACGCCTGAGGAAGTGGGAGTGCAGGGCGGGTGCGGGGGGGGGGGGGTTACTTCAGCAGGGCCTGATGGCCATTTATATCAGCTTGGTACCTTCCAGATCTTTGAATTTCAGTGCCCATCTGTCCCAGCCAGCATGGGAAATAGTTGGGTATCCTGGGAGTTGTAGTCCAAAATGTCCAGAGATGACCAGGTTAGGGAAGGGAAGTTTATCTGGATAGTTTTCTTATGCAACTGGCCATCTGATGCTTCCAATATCCCAACCAAAGGCACTGAAAAGCAACACGCCTCAGTTCCAAACAAGCCTGGACAAAATCTGTGTCTTCTCACAAATATATATCCAAAATAAATTATCCAGATTTTCTGTTACTTTTCCCTACATTGGAGATAACAATGACGCATTCTGTGCACTGCAACAGCGGAGGAATTATAAAGAACAGTACAGCTCACAGCAGGAGAAATTGCATGAAGGCAAAATTTTGTGTCAGTGAGCCTCTTATGGTAACTTAAAGACTAATGAACAATTGTGTAATGAATGGACACTGTTAAGTCATTAAGCATCACCGTCTGTACTTTCTGCATTTCATTTTCCTCTCACTCCAATGTTTCTACATTCCCTCAGTCATGTGTATTTGTACCTGGAAGTCAGGACAACACTTGATGTGCTTCCTGAAATAGACTAGCAAAAGGAAGCATATGGCAGAATTAGACAAGTGCCTTCTCTTCCAAAGAACTTCAGGAAAAGGAAAGGAGTCCTGTTCTGTCTGCTCAGTATGTAGCATGACAAGCAAGGCTGCTGATCCTCCCCTCCAATCCCGGCCCAAATGAAATTCAAGCTTAGAGCTGAATTTCACCATCTCTTATCTCTGCATTTGCCTGCTGCTGCCAGAGAAAGACGACACTTCTCATCCACCCCCATCTGTTACATTTCTTTATGTCATTTCTATACCACCCCCAGCTCAAGCTTTCTGCATGGTTATGATTCCTATCACTTTTCTGGTTACATAACAGAACAGCAATATTACAAGCAAGCAATGGACAGGACCATTGGGGTCTGTATTCATGGCCTGATGCGTTCAATCCCAGGGTCATTTCTCCACTAAAGGAAAATACTAGCTCCTTGTTGCAACCTTCCCTGGGGCCCTCCTACCCTGGAATAGCAAGTTCTTCCCTGGAATAGCAGCACATGGAAGAGCCCACCCTTGCAACAAGTGGAAGACACTACAGAAACGTATGAGAATTCTGGTGGGGGGATGGGGGACTCAGGCAGTTTTTCAGGTCTGGCCCTACAAATTTTACTCCATTTTCCACCCCCACTGGAGTTAGCTCAATCTGTAGCAAGTCTGGTTTTTTATGGTGGCAATTTGCACAACTTTGGTGGGGGAACCTTGAAATTTGTGCAAGTTACATTATACTTTTTTTAATTGTGAACTTACGCAAGTGATTTCATCATCTTACACATGCATACAAGCCAATCAGTCCAAAGCTTATTCCCTCTTGTAAATATCCTTTTCACTTTCATCCTCTCCATAAACTATTTTGTTGAGAAATCTATGCTGGACTTGCCAGAAAACTTGTCATTTTCCCCTGTTCCCAATTTTGTAGGGGAGCTGCCAAAGTGAAGAACAAAATTGGCAAGTTCCTTGACCTGCTGGTCTAAACCAAGTACAGCATGGAGAGGATGAAACTGACCACGACATTACAAAAGAGGATCATGCATTTGTGGAGCTAATACTGGACAGATGCACTTGCAACTGTGTGCGCTTGTGCAAGATTTCCAGCTAAAAATATTTTTACATTCTTTTAAAAAAATATAACATCATCAGTGCAAATCTAATTATCACTTCCCTAACTTGATTAAATGATAAAATTGCCCCCTCCCCCAAGATGAGCAAATTATTTTCAGAATCAAAACAAGTTTGCTACAAATCCTCCATAGCTTACCAAAACAGAAACACTCCAAAATCCTGCCAAGCTGAAAGGAAACAAAATTCCCAATGTCTTATGTCCCTAAAGATGAACCAGTATCAAGTTCACTATGCCAAAGAACCAGAGATAAACAAATGTTTCAACCAAGGAAGGGAGAAAACCACAATCTGCTGTCATAAACCTCATTCCAATATCCACATCTTAGCATCATACATAGTTTGAATGGTACACTAAAAGGTTTTAACTCCACTGATTAGTAACATAAATGTCATAGCACACCAGAAAAACTATAATAAATGCTGTGGCACATAAAGGAGCATGATCAGAAAGACTTGTATCTTTTATCTTTGGTGTCAACTGGTATGGACATATGCATGATGAATAAACATGAGTTTATTCATCATGCATACCTGATTTGAGTTTCTGCCTTGCTTTTCTAACTGTTTGCTCAAAGTAGCCACCAAACAAACTAGTGGTTACACTCCATGGCTTGTTGTTGAGTTAACTGCTGGGTTGTTTATGCCCTGAACAACCCAGTCATCAGGGCTGACACAACAGCACTCAACTCTTGAGTCTGAGTCACTGGGTACTTGCAAAGATGTCTCAAATATATCTAAAAATATCATTCACCTTGTGACACTGAGTATAATCTGTGCACACGGCAAGAAATGTTTGCATCCCTGCCTGTGCTACCAGTGATCTGGCCTTGGATCATTTCAGTTTTATTGCCTCTGAATACAGACTGATGGAGCTCTCTAGCTAGTGCGTGAATACTGCGGTTGCGCTTAAGGCGTGTTGCATGCTCACCAGTACAGGCAATGTCTGAAAGAGAAGAGAAGCAGGTGCAGGGTTTGCCCTAGGCATACAGGTAGGCACATATCATTCCCTTGCAGCTGCATTTCAAGCAGAGGCTTGTCCAGAAGGGTGGGTGGACGCCACCGTATTTAAAAGTATGTCTCAATGCAACAACCACAGAAGAAGAAATGCTGGAGATGTAACTATCCAACCAAAAGAAATAAGGTACAGCACTGAGTTTGCCCTTCCTTTAGTAAGTTCTATCTGCAAACTGAAACCACCTCAGCAGCTGCAAAAACAGCTGCCAGAAGACTATCTTCTGTTCTGAATGCCTCCTTCATTTAAAGGGCTGTCCAGTCCAAGTGTTGCATAAGCAGCCATCACAAGGAAGGGCTGGGCCTTGGAGTTACTCAACAGTGCAACTGGTCAGCAAACTTAGTAAGACACACAGGTTGCCCGATCACAGTCTCCCATACTTTGGTAAGATGTAATTGCTTTTTTTTATTACAGCACTGTCAGCCCTGTCAAAAGAGAGAACATAGCTTAGGGCAGCACACATACTTTGCACACAGAGAAGCGAAATCCAGGTTCAATTCCTGCCATCTCAAGTTGAACAGTTTGTGTAAATGATGAAAAGCCATATGCCCCAAACCCTGAAATCCATTACCCGTTCGTTGGACAATACTCAGCAAGACCGACAAATACTTCGATTTGCAATAAGGAAAATGTCAATATCCTATCAGAACAGTCTCGCACAAATCTTCTTAAGATACCATGATTCCCCTGTCCTAGAGCTGTTTCCAGGCATTTCTGATACAGAACCGAGTCTGGGGCCAAGTGTGAACACCTACCACCAAACTACAGCTATTTTAGAAGCCCTTTATAGAAGCCTTCTCTAACTTAGTGCCCTTCAAGTGCTTTGGATTGCAATTCCCATCAGCCCTAGATAGCACAGCCAAGAGTACATCCATTTGAAGAGCTGTAGTCCAGAGCATCCAGAGGGCGCTAGGTTGGGGAAAGCTGCATGACAGTAACCTGGGCACCATCAGCCTAGCAACCAACAATGGATCCCCTGCTATGAGGAAGCAATATCTGTCAAGCTTTTTCCTGTCACACAGTAAATTATTAATAAAGATCCTTATCAGAATCAAGAATTAGCAATCCCAGATAGATACCTTTAGTTGATCAACCAGATAAAATAGTTTAAATCATGCTGTACCTTGTGTTTCTGACTTGTGTCCAGATAAAGGTCTTGGCTTTTTGAGGTGGAGGTACTCTTCAAGGCTTGTCCTTCAGTGAGCTGATGTGACAAAAGAATGTACATAAAGAAAGCTATATTCAAGGAGCTTTCTTTTAAGAATCTCTGCTCAAAAACCAAAGCTACTTTCCTGACAAGCGAGGGAAGCTGGAGGGCCAGGTTGGGAGTCCAGGTGGGCCTGTGGCTTCCCACCTGGACTGAAAGTTTGTATTTGCTTGTGGATTTGGGGAAAGTGCCTCTTTTCCCCCCATATCTACACCTGAAGAGGCAGGAAACCCCAAACCTTGTTTTGGTTTATAGTTCATTGGCTGTCCCTGGATAAAAAGATGGTTTATAAGCTGACGAGAACATACAAAGTAAATATTCAATTTCATGTGCAACTTGGCTTCTTCTGCACTGGAATGTTGGCTGTTTTGAGGCAAACTTCATGACCTTACTCCTGAATATTATGTGCAACAATGTCCTATTTCAGACTTTGCTTAGTAATCTGCATATCTTGGGCAATGTGTGTGCCAAAATTTCAGCTTTCCGGGTGGCCTGAAATAACTATAATCCTTTCATGGAGGATACATTAAGGCCATTATTCAGAGGGAGAGCAGTGGCTCAGGGCTAGAAGGCCTGCCTTGCATGCAGAGGGTTCCAGGTTCAATCTGCAGCATCGCCAGGCAGGGCTGGAAACACCCTTTCCCATAACTCCAAAGAGCCCCTGCAGAGCAGTAAGAGCCAGTGGTCCCACTCAGTGTGAAGAAGCTTCCTATGTTCTTACATTCAATTGCCAGCATCTACTCTTAGGGAAAATCCACGCCCCCCCTTTTAAAATATTAGCTCTAAATGGGCCAATTTTAATGAAATCCAGCATATTTTGGATTACACATATACAATTTTCAGTTAACAGTTATGATACCTTATGAGACCCAAGCAGTTTTAGATATTTTAGGGGTATGTGCACATCTGCGTGCACACACACAGAACACATTCTGAAAAAGGGACAAGGACTTTTTTGATGTTAGAATAATAACTGCATCCACAGTTATTCTAAAGGGCTAAAGATCATTCTCCAGCTGGCAAGTCACTTTGCTAGCTATAATTCTGAGGGCAACTTTGCAGCAGGGAACCCAAAGAAAAAGCTCCCCCTAGCGAAACCAGAGGAAAAAAGTGGAAGTGCATGACAGTGGTCTGTACTGATGCCCCCATCGCTTTCTTACTTGATGCAGGAGCTTCTCCTCAGCATTCCAGTCATTCCTCAATTGCTTCTCTGGCCTCATTGGGCTTGGACACCTTCCCTGATTCTTCCACACATCTTCTGCCCATTCTGTTGGACTCCCTTGGTTTTTCCAGCTTCTCTCCAAGTGCTGCTGCCCTGCCTTGGCAGATCGCATGTACTCCCCTTGGCTTACCCACTCCCTTCGCAAGTGCTGCCTGGGATTTACATGCAACAAGGGCTCTTCACAGCTTTGCCGGCTGTTTTCTGACTTGCCAGAGCGAGGGTGGTCTTCCTGGGCAGACCTCTTCTGCTCAGCCGCTGGAAGGCTTGTGTGGAAGGAGGACTGGCCAGAACACGTCCAGACATGCTCATGCTGAGGACTGAAAGGATTTGCCTGCTCCTCTTGGCCTGGCCAGTCGTGGCCTTTACTGGTCCCTCGATTCCTGCAGCAAGCTTCCCTCTGGATTTTCCAGCTGTGCTCTGGGTGCTGCTCAGAAACAGCCGAGCACCTCGTCTGCTTGGAGCATGCATGGCTAGCCTCCATTGGCCTCCTGGGACCAGAAGAACACCTGCTCTCTCCAGAGCTGTTCCGGCTCCTTTCCCTACCTCTCTCTGGACTGAGGAAATGCTCAGTGCCTCTTTGGCTTGCACTAGCACAACTTCCAAGACTGAGCACACCACCAGTTTGGCCATGGCTTTTCAAACCAATGTCCACTTCTCTCCCTGGACTGAGAGCACGCCTGCTCTCTCCTTGGACTCTCCAGCCGTCCTCTCTGACATGCAATGGACTCCATGCCTGCGCACCTTTCCCCCAGGTTGCTGATCCCCTCCCTGGACTGAGAGCACGCACTGCTTCTTGGCCATCTCTTGGGTCTTTGGCTGGTTGCTCGGCTGTACCAACGGGGAGCAAAGGTTTGCCTCGCGCCTTCCGGTCACTCTCTTTGTACCTCTCCAGTTGCCTCTGGTGGCTTGCGTGGCTCTTGCCCAAACTCTTTGCAGGACTGGCAGTTTGCAAGGTCTCCAGGCAGCTTTTCCATTTGGTCTCAACATTCTTTGCAGAGCTGTGTGATGCCTCCAGCTGGCTCTTTCTGCTACTATGAGTTTGCTTGCCATGACTCATGGCATGAAGGGGAGCCCCACCAGCTCTCCAGTGGTGCTCCTCCCTTTTCCTCCTGTCTACTGGCTGAGGCGGCAAAGCTGTGGAGTGCAGTGGGAACCCTCTGCTCTGGCTCTCCAGGCGCTGGGTGGGTCTCCCTGTGTGCAAGGGCTCGCCTTGGCTCCTGCCACTTCTCTCGGGAGGCTGACCTGGTCTGCCCATCCGCAGGGACTCTCCTCTACTTCTGCTCTGCTGTTCTGGTTCCCGCGGGAGTCTCTCGTTTCCCTGAAGTGAGAGGAGAGAGAAGACAGCCCTTTCATTTTGGGTGTCCATTGCAGAAAGCTCCCCCACTATGCTAGATTGTTAAAACTAAGGACAAGGACTGTCATTCGAGCTCTCTTTGCAAGCTGCTCTGGGAGCCTTTTTAGCTAAAAGGCAGAGTATACGCACTATCAATACAATAAAATAAGAAATGGCTCAAAGAGCATCCATCTCACTTGAGCCCAATACTTCCTACATTTCACTTCCCCTCCTTTGCTTGTTCTCCCAGGAAGAGCAGAGGTCCGTTCTTGGGGCTCCTGAATGGATCGTCAGGGCCGGGTATACTGTACCAGCACATGCACACACATTTTCCACCGAGGCAGCTCCATTTTTACAGCTTGGTGCCTCAAGACAAGGGTGACAGGTGATACTGAGCCTGTGGGCGCCATGTCTCCCCTGGACACATTTCCAGGTGTGCACCAAGATGCTCTACCTCCCACTTAAACAAACATGCATTTTCTTATCTGCAGCTGGGATTTCTGTGGGCACTGAAAAATGTGAGCTTGAGAGGGTCGTTCGGGGAGTCGGGGCTCAGTCTATTGGACTGATTCCTTGTTCTTTGCTGTGCTTCTCATGGCAGCTATTCTGTGGTGATGCCAAGGACAGTTTATCAAATTGCCCAAAGTGCTCATGGCCCTGAAAGGCATGCCAGACTAGTTCAAGGCAGCTTCTAGGGTCCAATGCGGACAGATGGTATCACCATGAAAGCAAACCAGTCAACTATGCATCAGGATAGAACAAACAAAGCAGATTCCATATGAGATGCAGCCAATTATCCTTCTAGAAAAGGGGTGGGCAACCTGTGGAGCTCCAGATGTTTTGATCCACAACTCCCATAATCCTTCACCAGTGGCCCTGCTGGCTTGGGATGATGGAAGCTACAGACCAAAACATATGGAGGGCTACAAATTTCCCACCTAGACTAGTGGTAGTTCTCAGTGGCTCATCCCAGCCTAGTAGTAATGCTCAACTCAGTGGTCTATCAGTCTCATGCAAAGATGCCCCACTAGTGCAAGGTCAAACAGTGAAGCCCTCTCCCTTAAAGCACATTCTGTTCATTTCCAGACTGGGAAATACAGTGCCTGTTGCGGGAATAGAAGCATCAGAGCCACTCTTCAGCAGACTCAATTCAGAGCCTCTTTTGGGTGGTGCCACGTGCATAAGTGAAGACCAGGCTTTTCTTCCCCCCGCCCTCGACCAGAGGTTTACAATGCTGCTTTGGGGTCTTTCCAACCTCTTGAGAGTCTGGAGAGTCTGAAGATATTGCTGCATGCAGCCAGAGAAACAAGCAGCAATGAAAAGAACTCACTAGAGAGCCAATGCAAACATCCAGAGTTTCCCACTGTATAAACTTTCAGACTTCAGAAGATGGGAAGGCCTTGCCTGGAAGTGTTCTCCTGCCCACTTCTCTGCACTCTGCAAGTTAGCCATGTGTACTCCTTTTCCCTCAGCAAGAATTCCTGCACACATGATCATGGCAAGCTTTATGCACCCATGGAGACTTTGGTGACAGGGTGTTTTCAAATTCCTAATCCCTCTCTCCTCTGTGTGCCTTCCAAAGAGATACCAGCTTCTGCAGGGCTGTTCTATCCAAGGGCCGAACCGAATTACCCCTTACCGTGGCTGGGCAAAGATCCGAAAGCAGGAGTTTGCTCTTCAAGATGGACTGTGGTGTACACAGAGAGAAATTAGGAGAAAGCCAAATGTCAAAGGAGAATGCAGTTTGGGCAGGAGCCCATTCCCTCACAACATCCAATCACTGTATGGAACTGAGATCCCACACTATATAGTAGCCTCTCACTTCTCTGCGTAGCGTGGGGCTCGATTGCCTCCTGACTAGCCGCCCTTCCTTGGCCAGCTTCAAGGTCTTACTGTCCAGCCGCTCAAGCAGCCCCTCCTCCAGGGCTTGGAATGCCTCCAAGGTCTCCGACTTCCTAACAACCAAGAACAATAGCACGTTTTCAGGTAGAATTAGGATTGAATTTCAAATGTCTCCAAACACACTGCACAGGCATGGAGGAATAGGCTTCTCTCCGACTGATATTGAACTTCAATTCCCATCTACTCTGGTCAATTCAGCTTAATAGCCAAAGTGGATGGAAGTTACAGTCCAGCAACATCTGGAAGACCACAAATTCCTCACACCTGCATGACAGATAAACTTGCTGGCCCTTGTGCTCCACTTACATAAAATCAGAATTTCAACAGGTGGTACACATAATCCATAAATAGCATTGCACAAATGCATTCTAAGTGATTGTGTTACTTCCTGGAAAAGTAACAACCCCATCCACATAAGCATGGATTAATGTTCTCCTTCATACCATCACCTCATCCAGACTACAGCTTCAAGTGCATCTCTGAAGCTGTAGTCTGGAATCATATAGTATGAAAATGTCATGCATTCCAACATGATGCAACTCCTTCTTGATTGTGTTTTTTTTTTTTTTTTTTTGCAAAAATAGATCCTGCCAGACGAATCTTCTGGAATTCTACAACAAGGTTTTGCGATGGCTAGATGGAGGTGACATGGTGGACGTGGATGACTTGGAGGTGCCGATACCACTCTTTAAGACTCTGGTGTGCCCACAACTGGAGTACTGTGTCTAATTTTGGGCTCCACATTACAAGAGGGACATAGCAAGGCTGAAAACAGTTGAACACAGGGTAACAAGGATGGTGGCCAGATTGGGGGGATGCCATATGATATAAGATTGAGGGAACTGGGACTTTTCCACTTGGAGAAGAAGAGACTCCAAAAGGATCTTCCCTCTAGTGGAGGGAAGGGCACAATCCAATGGGACAAAGCTGGAGAAACTGGGTTTTAGGTTGGACGTCAGGAAGTACTTCCTGATGGTTAGGACCTCTAGGATATGTAATGGACTTCTATGGGAGGTGGTGGAGGCCCCATCAGTGAAGGTGTTCAAGAAAAGATTAGACACCCACATGGCCACTATGAGCGGAGCCGGCTTGTGCTGGGAGTCAGACTAGATGGCCCAGGAGGCCCCTTCTGACTTGCTGTGTGTCTGTGTTTTGCATGGCCTGCATGCATGATGTGTTTTTTATTCCCAGATTGCCATTATATGGAGGAAAGAAGGTGGGACCACAGGATCTCCTACTCTCTCCTTTTAGAGTCAGAGTTGCACTGGAAGCAAAGATGATGAAGGAAGCAGACAGAAAAAGATCATTCAACGGTTAAATCAACAAACTTAGTGTCTGCACAGAAAAGGTATTCTTCAGATGTAATGAATTCCAAACTTGATAGGAAATTTGTAAGGCAGGCATTGGAAACAGATGGGTTTCAACCAGCAAGCCAGCTAATTTGGCAACATCCCTGTCTAGACGTGTTGATTGCAAAGACTGTGTGTGTGCAATTCCTGTTTGAATGGTGAATGAAGACAACACCCACTCTTCCCCTTGTGACCCTTGCCACAAAGTGCTCCATCTCACTCTGGTAAGCCTGGCAAGAGGAACGGCTTCCCCCCACCCGCCCCTCTCTAGCTTGGAGCTGGGGGCAGGGTGGGGATCGCGACTGCTATTTTCAAAGGACCCACTGACAAGAGCCCCCTGGAGCTGCTGCTCCTCTTCAGCATGCCTTTTGCCATGGTCCTGGTAAGGCTGCTGGTGCAGAGGAGCAGCAGGGAATGTCGTTGCCTCCTTGCCTGCTGGCTCTCTGCCAGCCCAGCCAGCAAGCTGGAGCACTGGTGAGAGAGAGGAGATGGTGCGAAAGTTGACTTGCTGGGGGAGGGTGCCAACGGAGGGTGTCTTGACCAAGGAACCAGTGTGGTGTAGGGGTTAAGACTGCAGGACTGGGGCTCAGGAAATCTGAGTTCTAGTTCCCACCCAGCCACGGAGCTCACTGGGGCACTTTGGCCAGTCAAACTCTCACCTAGCTCTCGGGGCTGCTGTTCTGAGGACAAGACTCGCAGGAGGAGGAAAATGATGTAAGCCACCTTGAGTTCCTTGAAAGGAAAACGGGTGGGATATAAATCAATGGAGCGTTGGCGTCAAGGATTGTCCAGGCAGTTATGAGGAGCTTTGGGGGGCTCATCCCCAAAACAGGGAGGGTCTCCACTGCCTCCTCCAGTTCCAAACTAGAGACGAAATGTGGGGCTCATTTTGGGGAGATAATTGGGGCTGGCTCTTTGGTGAGCAAGCCTTCAGGGCCAGGACCAAAGTGTTCCTCTTCCTGCATTCCAGAATCAATACTATTACTTAGTTAATGCAAAGGTTAATCCATCCTGATGCTTCTTGTGCCTGAGATTAGCCACACAAAGCCTGCATTTCCTGATGCCATACAATGGCTCACCTGCGCTCTTGTCCGAAGATCCGCTCCACCTCCGCCCGGCCAGGACTACAAGTGCGGGAGTTTCTGCGGTCTTTTTCAAATGCCTGCCGGTGGTTGAGCCGTTTTGGCTTGGGCACATCGGCCAACACCGTATACTCATGCTTCATCAGACCACGTCGGCTCTCGCTGCTGCCACTTGTGCGCCAACTCAGGTCCGAATCTGCAGAGCTGATGGAAGAGGTGGGCCACCTGCCTGCCCCCGTGGCATCGCTACGGACAGGCAAAGTGCTGCAGCCAACCTGGGGATGGGAGGAAGCCCAGCTTGGTTCCGATTTCCGACGGTCCAGAGAGAAGTAGCCACTCTCTCCTTGATGCTTTCTTCTACTGTCTGCCTGATTCTGGCTCATAGCTTTAGATTCTGGAGAGGGAAGGAATAAAACACTGCAGCAATTTCTCTCATGCTCAAGGAGTGGGCGAACTTTGGGGAACAGAGCCAATGTAGAGTCAAGAGGATACGCCAACCTCTTCCAACCCTGCAGAGGTTTTGCAATTCTACTTGGTGGCATGGCCAATAGTGGAAGCTGAAATCCAGAACACCTGGAAGGCACCAGGTGAGGGAAGGCCATGCCATGCAAGCAAATACCAGCATACAGAAGCCCTGATTCACTTCTCCAAGCAAGGTGTTTTTATTCAAAATTGGGTAACCCAGAACCCAGAGAACTATGACAAACTGTGCTGACCTGTTGTTCAGCATTGCTATTTACTTTGGTGTGGCTTTATTACTAGCAGTGGATGTTCACTGATGCACAGATCAACACAGCAACTCCTTTGGCTGGTGCAAGCTTAGAAACACATCTACAGCAAAGGAGAAGCTGTGACCTCCTGGAATTGAGAACCCTATCATCGAGAATCATTGCCCATGCTGGTTGGGCTGATGGCAGTCAGAAGTCCAACAGCATACAGAGGGCCCCAGGTCCTCTTCCAAGTGGAACAAGGGAAAATAAGCCTCTCAAAACAACAATTTTGAGGTGGCTGGAAATTGTCACAGAGATGCTGGCTCAGGAGTTTCGTAGGGTGCTTCTGTTGCTATGAGCTGCCTTGTTACAGCTTCTGCATCATTGTATGTTTTAACTGAAGGATGAACAACCTCTTCAATCTAGACCAGAGGCTACACAGAAAAGCGAGAATCTTTACATGAGCATCTTTTAACTAAACCAAGGTTGTGTGTGTTACATTCCCCTATAAGATCATGATATAGTAAACAGAATCTATTTTGACTTTGAAATGCTGTATTTTATTTTATTTTATTTTATTTTATTTTATTTTATTTTATTTACAGGGAGCTTACTTCTAGCCTTCATGGTCACTGATACAAATTTAAAAACCTAGGCAACAAACAGAAGATTTAGGAATTACATCTACAAAGCTGTGTTGATGATAATGCAAATATCCTGGTATTGGTAAGCTACTGGTTTACCCCTGTAGTTGGATACAAACCCATTCAGGCATACCAATATTTATTATGTATTTAGGGAACAATCCTTGTTTATTTAGACAGAAAAGAAGCCTTACAGCTGCTGGGAGCAATGGGGATTTCTTCCTTCTTCAACATGCATGGGATTAGAGATCAAAAGTAGAGCTAGGCTGGGCTTTCATTGGTCAGAAGGGGAATGCCAGCCCATTCAGTCTCCTGCCCCCTGGGAAAACTGGGCACTTCCATGCTACTCCCTACATTTACATCATTCTTTTTTTATCACCTGTCAATCTCAGTCTTGGCTTTAGAAGCTTCAGGTCCTTTGAGAATCTAAGTCAGAACCTAACAGGAGCTGAAGTCCATCAACATCTGGAGGGCCACATGTTCCCCTGCCCTGATCCCACTGGTAACAGCAGCATCAAATCCACTAATCTATGCAACTTAATTGGGGCACAGAGGTTTGTTCTTGATGGAGCACTTGAGCAGCACTTCTTCCCTAAGGGATAGAAAGCTCCTTAAGACCAAAGTATCTGCACTGGCATGGTGGGGAAGTGGGAGTGGGGAAAATGTACCTGCTTTCAGACAACTCCAGGACTCTGTTCTCCTGGAAGATGCTGTCTCCACCCATTTGGGTCTATCAGAATGTAGATTTTCAGGTCGCACTTCATGCTTCCGGCTCGCATAATACATCATGTCTCCTTTGTCAGGTCCCAAAATGTTGCCAAGGAGCCTGGTCATTTCCCAGTTCTAGGTTGGTAGGGAAGAAGTTCACAAAAAATCACTGAGAAGTTCTGCAAAGTACACTTATTTAATTTATAGGAATATTTATAGGATGTATTTCAGGGCATAGCACTGACAAGGTAGCTCAGAGTGACAGACTTTACGAACTGCCATAAAATACAATAAACCAAAATTCACACACATACTACAGACTGCAGAATAAATCCAATTAAGTAAGCAAGTCACATAGAAAGCAAAGCACCCCTAAATAAATGAGTATGACCAGTCCATTAAGCTGCTCATAGCAGAAATAGATGCTAATTTATGGGAAAGTAACTTGGGGAAAAAGGACTTTAAAAGGCTATGTAAAACCTGGAAACGTTCAAGCTATATGAAAAGAGAGCTCAAGCAAGCTGGGGGCCACGACTGAAAGTCTTTGCCACTTAAAAATGACACCCAAGCAGATCTTACCAGTAAGCCTACAAGCTGGGCCTAGAAAACAGGCCTTAATGCCCAGGTAGGTATATATGCATGCAGGCAGCCCTCCAAGCGAAGCGAGTTCCAAACTATTTATGCTTTTACACGCCAAGCCTCGCATTTTAAATTGGACCCATAAACACACTGACAGCAAATACAGCTGATACAGGCTTGGTATTACATTTCCCCTTCACCCTCTGCCCTGCAAACATCCAAGCAGGTTGTACTCTGTATCAGCAAATGCTTCAAGACCATCTTCAGAAGCAGGGCCAAGCAGAGTCCATTCCAGTAATCTAACCAGGTATGGCTGCAGCAGAGACAACAGAGGCAAAGTCTGAGCTCTACATGGCGCCGCAGCCGGCATACAAGCCAAAGGTAATAAAAGGCACTCCTAACCACAGACACCACTTGCCCTTTTACAAATAGTCCAGGAGAACTGCCAAGTTATGAACTGGGGTGACATGTAAACCAGGCAAGGCAGAAATGCCAAATCCCCAGTAGAAAAGCCAGTTCAGCTGATGCGCAAAGCTACACTTCACTCCACTTGGCAAGCAAGAATGCAAGGGTGCCTAAGGAACCTGAGGAACCTGAAATAAGAGGAAAGAAGCTTTCCTTTAAAACAAGGGTGGGCAGCTTCAGAAGGTCCTGGAACCATCACTCCCCAGACCCACCTCAGGCACCCCCAGGAAAAGAAAGGAAAAAAGAATGAAATTGCTGGTTTGCCTCCAGATTCAGCAGCCTGCTCACACTGCTATGGTTAGATTTAATTTCCCAGAAGAGTTGCAGTTAGCTTATCAACAATCCATAGCTGCTACATTTGCCTTTTTTGGCTAAAAATACTTTGAAGGAAGTGAGAGAGAGTGGGGGCTTCAACAGGGAGCAATGGGGACCTCCTGCAGCCCACAGAGACCACTGCCTCAAAAAGCGTGGGAGCGCTCGGCTGCCAAGAGAAGCACACACACACCTTACCTTGCTGAGAGCTGCAACGGTGTCTGGCTCAACACTAGGGATGATAGGCGTGGTGTTGGGACAGGTAGTGGCTTCTTCCGAGTTTTCCTCAGCCGTGCAGCTGAGCTGCGTGTACTCCAAGCTCTCCTGCCAGCTACAGAACAGGCAGAACACGAACCACTGACAATCACCCAACATGTCAGGTGCAAGAGCTAAGAGTGGCCCTCACGGCAGAAGGTTCCTGAGAAGGGTCAGGCAGTGGCATTCTCTGTTACCTCAGGGTGCTGAGCCTGAGGGCTGATTTCCCTCTGCAGAAATCCTTGGGGACCCCGTCCATTGGTGGGTGGGGCCTATGGCAAAGTGGGTGAGGCCAATACCAAAAATTCCCTGTTTTGGATCATAGTTCTGCTGAGAAGTCATTAGGTGGCCTTAGGCAATCCAACTTCTTCTCAACCTCACTCCTCCACAGCCGCAATACAGTCTAATAATACCAGCTTAACATTCAGGATGGCTGTTAAAAACTTGAAAAAGCTACTACTGGCTATGCTAGCCAGGGCTGACAGGAGTTGTAGGCTGAAATATCTGGAGGACACAAGTGGCCCACTCCCACACCCAATGATCAGTGGTTGTGGGAAAGGGGGCAAAGCCCTCTAGGAATCCTGGGAAGCCAGACTGGAGGAATTTGGCCTCTGGATCTCAGAATCTGTACCCCTGCAGGGTATAAAGTTTAGAAATAAGTAATTTTCTCCGCTTCCCCACTGAAGTACTCACCTCTCAGTCCTGTCCTCGGAGCCCACACATACATAGACCTCACACTGGGGCACTAAAATGCACAAGGGGTCCCATGGATCACAGGACCCAGGTTCTCTGATATCAGTAACACGCTCGGGTGTTTTCACTGTGCATTCTGCCAACTCCTGTCAAAGGAAGTGGGAGCCATCAAACAATAGACCAGTGGTACCTCTTTGCTGCTTCTGCTGTGCTCAGAGGAGAGGGAAAGGGCTGCTCTGCCTACCAGGGATTAAGACAAAAAATAAAAAGCCACATTTTCCCCCATCTCCCTTTCCATTTTGCTTGATAAAGAGTTCTCTGTTAACAAAAACATATGCAAGCCTTAAGCTAACAGAAATGGGTGAACTAACAGGAAACGATACTGGCTTACTCACTGCATATCTTTTGCTTATAGAAAGAACAGAAGGTGCTGCCCCTTTGCAGTTAGATTCTGTCCCCCTTTGGATAAATAATTGTTCTGTTGCCCCAGTCTGCTCCATGACTCGGAAGAACATCTCATTAAGCTTAGCTCATTTCCAAATGTTTTGCGATTTCCCTTCATGTAAATATTCAAACACAATACATCCAGCTTGGTGGTGTTTACTCAAATGTAGAACTCCCTCCTAGAATATTTCAATTAATCTTCAACAGCCATTTTAGGGGGTCTGTAATTGCTGTTTTGTTATTTTCAAATGTTTGACCTTCACATGCAGACAGCAATGTTGACATAATACATTTTATAGTTTATTGTAACTGTTGATTTTATTTGTATTATAATCAAACTTAAATACACTAGTCAAAAAGCATGTAACAAATCCCTAAACAAAACCTGTCCTCCCTTTACCAAATGCCAGAGGTTGGCTAAGCCCAGATACAGGACAGCTTCCTATCAGTAGCTTTTGCCCTTTCTCCTGTTTTCAGGTTTTAGGGACCCCACTCAGCTAGCAGGGAGATGAAACTCTCCTAGTGCACCTGTTCCAGGGATAACCAGAGATCACCTGGCATCACGGTCATAATTTGAGCTTCAGTATATGTGGATTAAGAGACAGACCTTGAGCCCTTTGTAGGAAAAAGGCAGGATATAAATTGAAAAATAAATAAAAAAAATAAAATAAAAGATCACAGAAACCACACAGGAAGTCAGCACAGAGTGCCTACTAGCCTAATGCATGTGCCTTACCTGACTGGTTCTCTTTTATTTTGTGTCTAAGTTTGGAAGTACAGTTGACACTGGCAAATAGTCTCTGACCTTAGCATAACGTATGCCCAAGAATGCGAACTATAGAATGTCAGGGATAACGAAACTATGATCACGATGACTAAAAAGATCCTAGTCATCTTGGAGAAGCCCACTCACTGAGTGGTCAGCCAGGCCTTCTATAAAGCATTGCCTTCCCAAGGACGCTTGCTGCCTTGCAGCCCCTCAAAGAGGCACTAAGCCCCCCCTCACCCCCCGGTACAGCTGCCTCCAAAGGACTGCTGCTCAACACGGATACTGGAGCAGAGGGTTCCTCCTCCACAAGTGCTGCTACCAAACACCTGGTTCAGAGAGTACACCTCTACTACTGGATTCCTTTTTGCCCCATTCCCACACTAGAGGACCTGCTTTATCTCACCCAGATTTTTACCTCCAAGATCGCCGTTGCTTCACATCCACACAGGAACCACAGCATTTCTTTACCGAAATTACCAAGCAAGTTCAATTGCCTAAGAAACCTATTGCAAGATATGACCCCTCAACGCCTGCTGGAAGTGCTCACACAGTCCAGTGCTACAGAAGCCAAGGAAAGTGCAGACATATGCTGAGAGTCACTTAAATAGCAAGCCTGCAGCTTGTTCTAAAGCAGGAGTTTCAGGAAAGCTCTTGGAAGAGGCAATGAGGTGGGTGGGCGGACTGAAGGGAAAGAGGCAAGATTCAAACTGAAGAGGTGGGACCAAATTTTTTTAATATACCAGCACACTGCAGCTCAAACCTCTTACTGCCAGTAACTATGCCTTAGGAGAGGCATTTCCTCCTTTTAAAATGGGTAAAAAGCTGCACAAAAGCCAAGAAGTCACCAAATGACTGATGATTGGGTGAAGTGGGTGGAGTCAAAAAAGGGACAAAGCCAGGGAAGGGGGCATGGCCATCCGGGAAAAACAGGAGGGCCAGATTTGTGCCCTGGGCCTCAGTTTCCCCACTCTAGTTCTAAAGCCGGGGTTCTCAGACATACTGAGCAAAGCACGCTGAACACTGCAGTCTTCTCATTTGTTAAGATTAAGCACGTATTCCTTTTAAAATAAGATTGCACACAAGCCTAAGGCATGCTTCAAAAGGACCTGAACTGAAAAGCTTGCAAAACAAAACTATAAATAGCATGGTTATTCCAATTGATTGCCAGCACTACCAATCAATAGCCTATGTTGAGGAAGGCACATGGACTTCTGCATCACATGAACTGGACAGCAGATAGAAGGTGGACAATACCCATCTTAACACTTGTGCTGTCACAATCCCAGAATCGCCAAAGAAGGCGGTTGTGCCTTCTTGGCAGTTGTCTGCACTCGCTCATGGAGCCTGCACAGTTCCTCCAACTTCTGCTTTTGCTCTCTTACTGGGGCACAGGATCATCTAGAGCAGCAGTTCCCAACCTTTTTTCACATGTGTGCCCTTTGGCAGCCCATTTCCATAAACTGTACCCATAAATTTTTCACTTGCGGCCTCTTCATATTAGCAAAATGTTTGTGATTAATATAGTTGCTGCTATTTCAAATTTATATGTAGTTACTGAAAATAAATAGGCCAATGATGGAATTAAAAGGGAATGGAATAATAAGGTGAACAGATGGTGCATATACATTTACATTCAAAACTCAAGAGATTTCAGCCATTATTCTTTTTTTTCTGCATACCCCTAAATATCCTGGTTTGTACCCCTGGGGGTACCGTACCCCAGGTTGGGAATCACTGATCTAGAATATGAGCTGGCAGGCAGGCAGGCACAATCCAGAGGTTTTTGACTGCAATTCCCAGCATGCTACCAGGAGCTTCTGGGAGCTCGACTCCCAAACATTTGGAGATCCATCTTTTGTCCACCCATGGTCTAAGAAAACACTAGCTAATTGGGGTGGGGGAGGGTGTTGAACTTCTTCCAGCCCGAGGGCTGAAAACCATTTCAGATATGCTCTCAGGGGCTACATTCCAGCAATGGCCAGGTCCATAGTCAAAAGGTGAGGGAGCTAAAAAATCTAGCCCAGTTTAGCTTAAGGCTCTTCCTGCCAGTTACTGAGCCTTTAGGTGAATCATGTAGTTAGAAGAGGTTTTGAAGACCATCAGGTCCAACCCTCTGCTTACTGCAGAATTCAAGTCTCCCATCCAGATTATAACCAGGCCTGATGCTGCTTAACTTCCAGGATTAAGCAGCCTCAGGCACTTTGGGATATTCAGAAGCATATAAGGAGAGGTATTTCAACCTCTTAGAATGGGGGAAAACCAGCAGACAATTTGCAATTGGGAAGGGGCCAGGAGGAGATGCTAGCATTTGGTGCTCTTGAGGAGGGCTGGATTTAACCCCCTGGCTCAAGGTTACACTCACTTAAGGCTCGGTCTTTCTCCTGCTCTCTCTCTCATTCTCTCTCTCTCGGGGGGGGGGGGGGGTTGCGCAGGAGATTGAGCTAGTTGGTCACCCTTCTAATTTTGCAAGTCACTGGGTCAGATCTCTCCCCCAGCCCACTAAATTCAGCAAGCAGCTTGAGGAAAAGCAATTTTTGAAATGTTTGATCAGAGCTGAACCACAGAATGGGAAGCCCTGCTTATTGACAGCACCACCAGGGAAAGGGGATGAGCAAGACTCTGGCAGCATTAAAACAGGAGAAAGGGAGAAGGAAAGAAGAGGTCAAGCCCTCGCCTTGCTCAGATCCAGAGCTGAATCTCAACCCAGCCCGCCTTTTAGAGGGTTCCCTGTTGCCCTGGCAAGCTGGAGAGAGAGAAATCCCCGCCCCACAACCCCTCCTGCCTTCTCCCCAGTCCGGTTACCTTGGCAGGTTAGGCTCACCAAAGGGAGGGTCCCTACCAGGCGAGTGCTGTCAGCACCTCCACTTCCCTGCCATTGTCCTGCTCGAGCTGGGGGTGGGGAGGGGAAAAGGCTCGGAGCAGATCGCAGGCGAGCCAGGAGGAAATTCTAGAGGGCCTGGAACAGGGAGAGAGGGGACCTCATCATTATTTCATAATCCATGGCTGATCTAACCCAGCAGACAATGAACAACATGAAACCTTTTGTTAACAGGACACCAGCTGGCATGCCATAGGGAGGGATGGAGTTT